TACTATTCCTGCACTTGCCGCATCCTTTTTCACGTCCTCCATGAACGTCTCTAGGAAAATTTCTAATTGCACTATCTAGGAATCTCTTTTGGATTTACATATTCCACAACATGGAAAGCTCCAAAAATCTTTTCAGGAATCATACATATTTGGATGTTTTCGTGAGACAACTTTTTGCTCCAGTAAATAAGATGAAAGAACCTTGGATTGTGCACTGGAGGAGAAATATTTCCGGCCCAAAGATTGAGGGAATCGTCGTTCACTTGGTTTTCATGGATCCCTCGTTTGCTGTTTGACTGCAGCAGCAGTACCCACAGTATCTACCCTATAGTGCACTGGAGGCCATAAAAGAGGCCATATAATGTTAATCCTTAAAATCCACGATCTCATTTCCATTCTTCTTGAAAAGAGTTCGAGAAACCTCCAGTTACAAAAAAAGGTTCGAGCCTTTTATGCGATCCCAAACTATGTCTTAAATACGATTTCGGAAGGTTTATGGCCTACCCATTACAATATCTCAAATGTTTTCCTTCGATGCCAACCAGTCACAAAAAAATGAAAATCTCGGATCAAGTTGCAGCTGTAGGAGTAAAATTGTCTGTTCCATTTTCTCCATACCTTAGGTGGGTAAGTAACTACTCGCTGACTTTCCCCACGCTAATACGGGACTCGCCCAATCAGTTCACTTCCCTTCATAATCGTTGTGACATTGAAATGCTGTGACTTATGTAACCCTTACAGTAAGGTATCTAATTGGGGTGCAAGAGGATGGATTTCACCTACACTCGTGGCGGAAACTGCATGCCAGGCTTACCCTCTTCTGCCTATGTGGGTCATATTCAGGAATTAGGGCCCTATCAATTGATAGATAGTCGAAGCTACTGGATACGGTCCTGCTACGAGACTACTATCACAGAATCGCCGTATGAATAATCGCTGATTCGTACCTATTGGCCGGCCCTTCCCACCGGCTTGTTGTAGCGCGCCACTTGGCATTATTCCAGCCCCGCTCTTTGTGACTTTTATGCCCTGGTATTCATCACAATAAGCCTGCTAAGGCTGAGTTCAACGAGCAGCATCAAGTGAACCCCGCAAAAAAGCTGAAACGTTCAAAACAATCCATAAATAAGGGCGGATTGGCCTGGAATAGCGCCGGATGTTTATAGGTGCCTGCCGCTTCCTCAGGAAATCCCATTGTTATAAGTAAGGAACTCATAGTTGGACCTATAAACCCGGAACTCGGGTAATGAGAAATCTAATAGTTCTAAGTGAAAAAACAATGCTCGTGATATCGGCTGTTTTACACTGTGACTTCGTTTTTCACAAGATTTGTGGAATCCCCGATACAAGGCTTAGGAACTCTTGGCTTCTTGAAGCTGTTCAAGTTCTTGGTAAAATCATGAATCACATCCTATTCAAAAAGTCTTTCGACTCAATCAGCCTCACCTTTGGG